AATTAATTAAGGTGAGCTATTATCAGCAGGAGAAAAAAAAACTTTTGTCGTGATAATCAGGATGGTCCATTTCCAACAGTTGACAAGAAGGTGTGAGTAACAGTAGGGGAAAAGAAATTAGCATGGGGAAACAGTTTTTACTTTGTATAATGACAGTTGGTATGACAACACCCATTTTTTCATGTTCCCTGTGTATATATATCTTCCTACTGTATTTTCCACTGCATGCATCCGATGAAATGGGTTTTAGCCCACAAAAGCTTAAGGTGCCACGAGTACTCCTCGTTCTTTTTGTATGTACCCTGATGATTCATATTAGCAGTTCATTAGCGCACTTGATCTAGTCTACTTTGAAATGGGACTAGCTGAAAGCACTCTAACAAACTGTTAATGCATGTCAGCAGGGTGCACAGGAACAGTTAAACCACAGAAGGGTAGCAGGGTAGATTCACACCCCATGTTGCCACATCTAATTGTTCATATAGACAGGCCCTTAGAAGAAACCATTGCATTGAGCTAAAGACCTCATCCCAGTTAATACAACCAATGCTTGTAATATTCCTGGGACAACAGTTGTGTGTACATTGTATAGTCTTTGTAAACTCAGTGTTCAGACTTACAGTTGTTGCACCAATTTTTAGCCAGAGACTGCTGCAACACAGTTCACCACCCCTTTCAGATACTTCAAAATAGCAATAGTAAATACACCTCTACCTCGATATAACGCTGTCCTTGGGAGACAAAAAATCTTACTGCGTTATAGGTGAAACCGCGTTATATTGAACTTGCTTTGATCCGCCGGAGCACGTAGCCCTGCCCCCTCCCCTCTCCCCGGAGCACTGCTTTACCGCGTTATATCCGAATTCATGTTATATCGGGTCGTGTTATATCGGGGTAGAGGTGTACCTATGCTATACCTATATCTCATTATAGAGAGAAGCAGAAATCCTGGCTTTTCTAACATATATGGAACTCCCTTTACCATTAGAAATCTTTACTTTTCCATAACTTAATCTAAATTTAGAAATACCCACTATTCTGAAACACTCTTATTTTGCTATAGTGCATTTCTCAGAATACCGGACCATCCCTGATTAACTGATAATGAAATAGGTTATTGATGGAACATTTTACTATACATTCATCCAGTGGTATTCTCTCAAAAACAAACACAAAATATATTGGGGAAATTATTTTGAATGTTTGATAATGTCAGCTTAGTTTTGGTTTGTGCCTATCACCTCCTACCACTCCTAAAATGACACTTCTTTCCCTTAGATGAATCGTAATAATATTTATTTATTGAAAGCTTAACTCCTACTTCACTGGCCTCAGCTGCACTATTTTTGCTAGATCCTGAATTTCTTTTCAAGATTGGTTCTTGAAAAACATTTCAGGTAACACAGTTTTGGATGACAGAGACCTTTGTTTTAAACAGTTATTTTCAATGTATGGTCTCAACTAACTTCTACCAATTTTTTTTTAAAACAGTTTTTCCCTAACTACTTAGGCCAGTACATGCCAGCAAAGCCATGTTATGGAAACAGTTTTTAGGAACAGATCTTGAAAGGCATTTCAGGATCCCACAAAGGTGGTATTCTGGATATGGCTTCTGTGTATCTTGGAAAATTAGCTATTATATGTTGAATGACACAAGCTGATATTCCAAATAGCTTGTTGATTTAGTTTTGCAATGGGGGTTAGAATCAAGCTGTTGGTATAATTTGCTGCTGCTGTTTCCCAAGCCAAATTTATATTCTTGTTGGAGTGGTAGTGATGCTTATTCATTAATTTGTCCCCTATTTAGTAAACAAAAAAAATTTTTTTTGCTCATTACTGTTTCAATATCTTCCTTTTAGCTTTCCATCTCTTGGATACAGGTACTTTGTTGTTTCTAAAGAGAGAGATTCTAAAAAAATCCATTGAAGCTCTATGATTTTAGCATAGACTAAAAATAACCTTAAACTATGTTCTTTGTTTTTTTTCTAGTGTTGATAAAATATGTATATAAATGTTTTGAAGAATGGTAGATGGGCAGAAGTTGTTTGCAAAGCAGCAATTCACTAACATTTTCAAATGACCACATAAACTCTGCGAGTAAAGAGTAAACAAACTAGAAGAATAAAAATATGGGGATTTGTATCACTCTGACTCTCTGTTTTTAACTGAATGCACATTTAGGGTCCTATCTTAAAGGTATTAGAACTATTCTAAATCAAGTAGAGCTGGAAAAAGAAAAAGCACCCCTCACTGGAAGGGAGCGATAAGAAAATGGCAGAATAATGACTAGGACATGCCAGCCTCTCTATTCCCATTAAAGTATATAGGTCCAAAATTCAACAAGAAGACATTGCACCCCATTTGAGGAGCATTTGAACCCAAATGGCCCTTTTCTCCAATATGAGTTAGAGTGCAGGGAATGAAGGGCAACCTTGCTTCACCTCCAGGAGCATTATGCTCTTTGGCGATGGTAACAGTCCAGACAGAAGAGTGTGTGTGTGTGTGTGTGTGTGTGTGTGTGTGTGTGTGTGTGTGTGTGTGTGTGTGTGTGTGTGTGTGTGTGTGTGTGTGTGTGTGTGTGTAGTAGTAG